CACCCACCCACCAAAGTATAACGCTTGTAGAGTGCAAATATGAAAAAAATGAAATGTCTGAGGGAAACCGGTATTGAACAATAACAATCTACGAGAAATACCAGTATGCTGTTGCATATACCATCAATCTCCTGCTAATTCTCACCCCTCGGGAACTCTAAAGGTGGGTAAATTCCAGGAAATGCGACATGGCATATCAGTCAGTAGTGGATGCTACTAAGTAGTATGAAAGATCAGTTGGGAGTTTTGTAACAAAATGAACCGGATCGATGACAAACTACTTCAATTTTGTTACTTGTTCCTAATGTTTTTAATTATGCATCGTTTAGTTATAATGGAATTTCAGTATACCGTCCGATGCATCCTTTATGTAATTGAAATGTTTTCTGATGTCCGCATACCAATATTGGCACATTGCATCCGGTATTCAGGTCTTTTTCACTTTCAAGCGTCTCGTTATCCCGAACCTACTTACCGTTCTTCAAGGGAATCTTTTCTAATCAGATTACTGCATATTAATTCCAGGTGTTCCTCCATTCCTTTGAAATGTTAGGTTAACCACAGAATTGCGTTTATGGAGCCCACCACAATATACAACTGTTTTAGCCATAATAGTCACAACATCAATATTAACTCATTCGACGAAAACAAGAATTAACCAGGTCGAACACATTGAGAACGCGGGACGAAAAATCGCATTCGAAGGAATCACGTCATCTAAATTAAATGAAATATATATTACGGGTTATGCTCAGCAGATTGACCTCTCTCACAATCTGAACGGGTTGTTCACTATTTATGATTTTCTGGTGAAATTTGTGTTGCATTATCTTTGTAAACCTTTTTTCATTCATTTGCATTTGTCATGGTCAGTGTTCAAACCGATTGATACATTCGTCACGAGCAGTGTCGGTAAACCCAAGTGACGGATTAAGTTCAACACGTGATTCACAAATGCACTTTTAGGGCATCGCTCAAATAGTCAGGGGCGCGTCAGACCCGGGTTACCTTTTCCCAATAACCTGTCCAATTTCATCGATGTCCTAGCAAGGACAAGTGCGATGAATGTTCATTCACGCAGGGCGTCAGTACTCCGGCTTTTATCGATCTCTCGGATCTGACATCTCACTCCACATATACGCATACCAGTCAATGGCGATTATCCTTCACCCATTTGCAGAGCCCATCGATAGACCACATGGCCGTGGCTTTGGTGACCACTGCAATAAAATGATCACATTCGAGTGCCCCACAGTACTGCAGAAAAAACCCTTGAAGCTTACAGAGATGTATTTTGAGCAATTATAAGCCTGACTCTCCTTTGGAAATCAACAAAAACGCTGTTTAAATCAAATGTACCGTCCAATAATGGACCCGAAACCCGGGAATTAGCCAAGGCAAACAGCTTCAATTGATCCAGTGCCTCTTCAATTGAGATAACTTCCGGCACATCAAATGCTCCACATTCATCTCCTTTTTTGTGACGCTTTGCTGGATTCGAAGCGAGAGTGACCTGATACAAAAAAAATAGATAACCCAATTCTTCATCATGAAATTCTAAACAGGTGACTTCTTCTTCAGAAAGACGTTCATCAAGACGTAACCAGATCGCACTTATCCTCTGGTGGCTACATAATCAGCTGATTCAATGTTGGTTTGAACCCAGCATTTATGGAAGCGTTGATCAGTATGTGCGGAGGCACAGAAACGCAAGCTTTCTTGACCCGATGTACGCTCATGAGGATGCCCACTTCGGATTTCATGCTAAGTTGCGCATCTTCAATCCAAGACAAAACACTCCAGTAAATATTTGCGAAAAGAACATTTGAAAGATGAAATCACACCCTGATCCATTAGTTATAACACTGAAGAACAGTTCGGAGGCAGCATTAGATAATACTGCGGCTTTTTTATGGCGAGGGGCGTTATCTATAAATAGTAAAATAGAGCATCTCTGAAAAACCCTCTTGCGGTTGATATCGGCTAGCCAACTGTGAAATAACACAGAAGTCATCCATGGGTTGTTTGAATAACTATGAGTGCAGTGAAGGCTTTTTCCATCTAGTCCCCACGGACCTGGTGGAGTTTGAAATTTTCCAACAGCCTGCGGTGATAAATATTCACCAGTCATGCTCCCACAGAGCAGTAAACCCACTGTTTCTTTGTATTTCTCGGATCCATAAATTGTTTTTCCTTTGAGATTTAACTTCCTTTCTTGGAGCTGCTTGTTATACAAAATTGTTTAGTTTGTATTGAAGATATCACAGTCAGCGTATCCATGGTTCAACTGCGGTAACCGGAAACTCGTCCACTGCATCACGTGGTACAGCCAAACTTTCCCCACAAACCTATAAAGTAATGCACTCGTTTAGTTGCTTGTCTGACTAAGAGTAAAATCAAATTTTGGAAGCCTTGAAGTTATGATGATGCATTGTTTGTGCTAGCTGGATTGTCTTTTTTGCACATGCTGCTCTCGGCAATGGGGTGGTTCGATGGGATATAACGCTGTAATNTCCTAAACTACTGTGTGGTTCGGTTACGGAGCTGTGAGTTGCGCTTGTCTGATTCAGTATTTCCAACACATTCTTATGGACAAGCGCTGGCACATTTTGAAGTCAAGTGGCACTACCGTCGATTGTTGGTGTCGGTGGGTCTTCCTCGCAAGGACTATCCAATCAGTGAGCAGTGTTATGTTCGCGTCACACTAGATGAAACGCCATTGGCTGAGTGCGATATTGCAGGTTGGCTGGTCAATGGCCGTCCTGAACATT